TTGTCTCTTCTGAGCTGATATCAAAACTAGACTTATTATTTTAATCGAGAAATTCGCATTCTCTCTTCACAGAATTGAAGAAGGAAAGTAGACTAGACGACGGAATTCAATTCCTGAGTAAACTTAGCAGCAGGGTCGCTGACGAATGATTGGAGATCGAATTCGTGCATGAGCATGATCCGTGTGTCCGTAACAGATCCTATTTCAGCAAAGCACGATATAGCCAACTAGTGGAATGCTGTGAAATGGGTGAGGCGAACGAGTTTTATTTTCATTAAGAGATATTTATCAAATTCGTGTGTTGTTACGTGAAACAGAAATGAATACCCCTGCAAGATAACCAACTTGTATGAGACTGTTTCAAGTAATTGACGTGACCCGCCCCAGGAAGATATTGAATCAAGTGTAATCGCCACTTTTCGGCTTCCCATTATAATGTAGCTAAAAATAGCTTGAGATGTCCGCTTAATGGAGGTGGCAATTTTTTCAGGTATTCTGTAGTATTCCAATAGATGCTGAGCTACTGAGATAGTATCCTACATTACTGGGTATGAAAAACGCTATAAGCAAACCGAACGCAGCTAGCTTGCTTCCTGTACACGGCATTCGGTTTTCACCACTGTTGGCGTGATCGTCTTGTACTATCACGCATCATCACATATGAACTACCATCTCCTACATAACAATTTTCAAAATTCATTCCTGAAGACCACAAACCAACACCATCTATCCACTAGAAATCAGTAGACATCCATCACTATGATCACCTGTTTATGAAAGAGGACATAAGGTCTGTGTCCACCCAAGAAGTGCAATTATAGCTCCCACATGTGGCAACACTGACTTGCTGCCAGATGCGCCGCAGCCCAGGCCCGTGCACGAGCTGATACGTTCTGCGTTTTATATCACGCCTTCTTGTAGGGAAGGCGGAGGGGAGGTCGTTGCAGACTCAACGTCGGGATCTCGAAACGTCGCTTTATTTTATGCGCCGTAAGAACGGCCCTTGAGGAAGCAATGCACCCTCGCGGGGTGTGGAGCCGCCTCAACAACCTACGAGTATCGATTATCACACCAGATACGCGATAGAAAATTTCAATGTCTACTTCTCAGCCCGCTTGAAAAAAATACCAAGGGTGGATATCTTTATTTGAAGTGTGATCTACTCGCCAACAAACTAGTGCTGCTCCAACAGCTACACGTTCTCGTATTATTAGGAAAGGTTGCGTAATATTTAATTTGGCAACTTGTATCTTCCTAATAGTTCAGCCACCTGTTTACCAACACTTTTCACCAAAAACGATGATCGGCAGTTTAAATAAAAATATTATAATATTCGCGAATTCAAGAGTTTGAATGAAAAAGCGTTTTCTTTAATTGAATTCAGTGTACTGTGACTTAACCATTCAAAATGCTTAAAGAAAAAAATACTCACTTGTGTTGGGATTTTCCAACTCTTTACGCCGGTATAAAATGAGATAAAATATATTATGTTTCTGTTGAAAAAGCTGTTGTAGAATGTTATTTTTCTAAAAAATACAAGCCACGAATAAATAATTGGGATCTAGTTTTTACACAGGTGTGAAATATGCTCTTAACATCACTGCCAATATAATTTCACCATTTATTTCTCCGCTTGAACTCAATAATTTATTTCATAACACACGCGAAGAACTTTCTTGGATCTTAAAAGTATATTCCATGTTCTTAAGTGAATCAAGTTACATTATACATAGTTGAAAAATAAACCTCGTACACACACTTGTTCACTTCATTGATTTCCGTTCCTAAATCATGTGCCCATTTACAATTTGATCGCGTTCGTCTCACAGAAAAATTAATTTGACGACAAATATCTCTTCAACATGAAACTCTTGTTATTTTCAAGTGAGAGAATATTAATTGATTCACTTCACAACGGCTACATCATTATTGAAAACATGTTTATCCACGATGGCCTTTCGAACGAAGTAAACTAATAAGAATTATCCACATTCATTACAACCTAAGGGAGAATAGCAGGCAACGCATGTAACAGCTTCTACTAACGAATTGTTTACTATCTATTTCCGAATATTTACTCGCATCTATGTTTACGAAGGAACTATAAAAAAAATAACAAAATGCTACGCAATTGAGTCGTAATGAAACTAATTTTATTTCAGCACTCTCTCTCCAATGACTTCTTTTTGCAATCCATCTGTAAAGCAATCTCAAGGAAGAATTTTTAAACTCACATTTTGTAGAAAAAAAGACGACATAAAATTCGTTTCACATATTTGGCGTTACTAACGTAATAGTAAAAACTTGTCTGGGCAGAACTTAATTCACGGCAAGAATGTTAACTGAAAATTACTACGCCCGTTCCCTGTAAATCAATTAAGATCCAGCTCCGTATTCCAAGGAAATTAAAATCCAGTAACACAACCTGACGGGAAACGGACACTCTCCTCAAGAGTTTTAGCAAATCTTGACCGCTTTTATGCAACAGTCACAGGCAACTACTACCATTCCTAACTATCACCTAACTACAATTCATCTCTGAATACATTTTATCTTTCCATATTAAAATATTTCACTCGCTCTCTCTTCTCTCCTTATCTTTTTTCTTCCTCGCACTTTCCACTTTCAGATATTCGTTCTCACTTTGATCGTCACCTGCGTTCATTCTCAGTCGTTCCTTCTCGTCTTTACTTATTTTACTGTCGCTATTATCTGTCTACTACATAGGAACTACTAATTACTTTATTTTACAGCTTATTTTACTCCTCTACCCTTTCCGTGTTTCAATGCATTTAATGACGTGGACTGAAATTCTGTAAAGGCAACCTGTCCGACATTTACGTGCAACAATATCAGTTCTCATAAAATGATTTCATTTGGATGAACTCAATGGTTTTGATGATGCGTAATATTTTGTACGTTACCGTGTGTGCCAAATTGATTAACTTATTTTGTCTAGTTAGAAATAATTAAAATTTCTTTTTAAATTTCTTCTGCACATAATACAATACGAGCCGATTATACAAGACTGTAACTCATCGGATCCCAAATGTCAGAATAATGTAAAAACCGACTTCTAACGCCGCAACATAATGTAACGAACAAGAACGTTACATCATTCTACCGTTGCACTACGCATCTTAACCCGTACGCTGAACACGATACACATCGAAGCACGATCTCTCCACCCCTGGAGGGGTGGGGCGTCGCAGCGGGCGCGGGCGCAGAGGCGGGGTGGGTGGGAGTGGTGACACGGCCGATGTTGGTGGCGAAGGCGGGCGCGGGCATAAGCGAGGGCGAATTCGAGGGCGTGGGTAAAGGCGAGGGCGTGGGCGCGCGCGTGGGCGAGCGCGGTCGACGGCGTAAGCGAGGGCGAATTCGAAGGCGTGTGCGTGTGTGTGAGCGAAAGCGGGCGAGGGCGCATTCGAGGGCGTGGGCAAAGGCGAGGGTGTGGGCGCGCGGGTGGGCGAGCGCGCGCGAGGGCGTAAGCGAGGGCGAGTT